CCCCCCTCCACCTCCCGTCCGCACGGTCCTACATCAGAGCTAGGCGGTCTCGAAGTGCATCCCGCAACAAGTCCCCGTCCACGTTCGTGCTCTGTCGCTGCCCGCCCGCGCCATTCCCCACAATCCCCAAGTCTACTCTACGACAAATGGCATTCCCATCCACCTCCCACAAAAGGTTCTCATCGAAGTCAATCCCCGCATCGAGGAGGATGTTGTGGAGAGTGCACACTGCCACAAATTGTTGTGGCAAGGTCTCCAGGTTCGTCTTGTGGGTGCGCAAAAACAGACGCCACATGCACTTCAGTCGCCCAAATGCCCTCTCCACACACCCCCGCGCCACCTTCTGTTGCGTGTCGAAGCGCTCCTCGTCAGGATGTTGGTCGATTCTTCCGTACGGATGCACGATCCATGGACAGGCAACTGGATAACCGTTGTCGCCTAGCAGGTAACATCGCGTGACGACACCGTGTGGCAGATTCTTTGGAGGTGCGTGGAATAGCTCGCCAGCTTCTGCACGCCTCCACAGCTGGGAATTGTGCAGGACGCGGACATCATGCACGCTTCCCGAGTATCCGATGTGGACGTCGAGGATCCATAAATCCAAATCCACCACCACCTGCGCCTACACGGAGAACTTCTGTTTGTGGTCGTAGTAGTTGTCGGAAGGTGCGCCTGCGGGCTTGTTAATGTAGATGTGTGTACAGTCGATTGCGCCGAAGTAGTTCGGGAAACCCTTGTCACGAAATCCGCGCAGAATCTGCGCACGTCTACGGCCAATTGGCCACTTGATAGCGTAGGGGTGCGCCTGCAGCAGCGCCGAAGGGACGTCGCGGACTGCCTGCAGTCCAGTTGCCCTGCCGATGCCGAAGGCCGAAGTGCCGCTCTCGTACGTCTCTCCTGACGCCCACCTGTACAACGCGAAAGCGATCACATGCTCCACTGGCAAAGGCATCCTGTAGTGCGTCACCTTCTTCTCCACGTACGCGACGCACGCGACAACGATCTGCCTGAACATGGCCAACGGCATGCACAACTTCTGCCGGTACTACTCGTCGGTCGTGTCATCACAGAGGCGGAGATCCTCCCATGTCCCGCCAGTCCGTCGTTTAATCCACCAACACGGGGTCCGCCGCGGGAAAACGCCAGATGACAGTGCGACGCACAACTGGACGACTGCCTCACACGTGGCCACGCAATCCGGCGCTTCGGCAATGCGCTGCAACAACGCTCTTCGTTTTCGGAGCCGTGTCAGCATGTCGCTTGAGGACGACGACATGCCACCCATCGTGTTCACGATGACGACGGTAACCGCCATCGCCACAGCGTCGATCTCCTCTTCGCGCAGACCGTGTCCGCTGACGCGAAGATCCATCTCTGGGAATCTTTCTGCCCGAAGAGCGTGACGCCTGCCACAACCGCCGAAGACACGCCCGCTGCTGAACCAAGTGAAGAGAGACCATGCACGCCGGACCCGTAGATGCTCCCGCTGACGTACGCTGCAACAGACGATGGCGTGCGTCGGAGTCCACAGGACAGCACACACGGCGGAGGTGAAGATGCGCCTTGCCGGAAGTTGCCCCCGCTGCTCACAACTCGCGTGGAGTCGGAAGATGGATACCCGCGCCGAATGCTTCGCCAGCGCCGTCTTTTGTACGTCAGACGCGTCGCCCGACCGTCCTCCGCCACTGCCGCCTTGCGTCCGCGAAAATCCGAATTTGAATTTTTGAAGTTCGGGGTGACCGCGCTTTTCACCCACCCCTCCTCGCCCGCCCAAGGCCTCTGCAGTGTGTACCACGGACACCAGCCAGGACCCGGCGAACATCGGCGACGCGGCTGCGTATACGAATATGAGAACGGGCTGCAGGAGACCTTTTAGGACGAATCCTAAAAGACAATTTTTAGGACTGCATGTAACGACGCCGCACGAAATCCTAAAAAACCTTTAGGACTCGTCCTAAAAATTTTAGGATTCTTTTCGGAGTGTCTAACGAGACCCTTATATCCGAGATCAAAAAGTCTTTTTTTTTATAATTCAAAAATTCCCACACATCAAAGACGGAAACTACGATCGCCTAAATACTACATCCCAGCACATAAAATCAAACTACCGCAAAAACTCACAATCAACCATTCTCCCCTTTCCTGCTTCCCGCCTTCCTTCTGTTTCCCTATTGTACACTTCCCATTTTTGAAAAAACATCATTTTTTCTTTTTCACATTTTGCCCATTCCCCTGCTCACAACCATCCCCCGTACTTCTGCATTTCGGGGTACAAACCAGAGATCGTAGCTCTCCAGTGACTCCCGGATTGTTTGGCAAACTTTGCCAGAGCCCCGAGAGAGAGAGAGAGAGAGAGAGAGAGAGAGAGAGAGAGAGAGAGAGAGAGAGAGAGAGAGAGAGAGAGAGAG